GTATATATATATATATATATGAATAATAAGTATTCTCCAGAGATAATCCCTGGTACATATGCAAGTAAAGAGCATGTTTTTACACATTTTTGAATAGGAAATAGAATCCATTAGTATTTAGAAGAAATTTAAAATACTTAGCTCAGTAGTAAAAAGTTTTTTGTTAAAGAATAATTATAAATATCAAAATCTATTCCATTCTTTCTTATAAACCATTAAGTAGTGGGGTGGGAGGTATTATTTCAGTAGACAATTCATTTTTTAATAAAATTATTTCTAGGCCGGGTGTGGTGGTACACGCCTGTAATCCCAGCACTCGGGAGGCTGAGGCAGGAGGATCGCTGTGAGTTCGAGACCAGCCTGAGCTACATAGTGAGTTCCAGGTCAGTCTCAACTACATAGTGAGACCCTGTCTCAAAAAACCAAAAAAAAAAAAAAATTATTTCTATTTTTCCTTATTACTGGTAAACATCTATTCTTTCCTTTTATTCATATAATTTGAATCTCTCTCTCTCTTTTTTTTTTTTTTTTTTTTATATCAGTGATAACTCAGGACCTTGTGCTTGCAAGGCAGGCGGTGGAACCACTGAGCTAAATCCCCAACCCTATATAATTAGAATCTTATAATTATTTAAAATATGATCCGAGCATGTTTTTCTTTTCATCTCAGTGAGATATAGGAGTTGATTTTTATAATACACGTTTATGCTTAATGTTACATGGTCATGAAAACAAAAAAAGTATTTTGCAGAAAAACATATTTTAAATCACAGCAGGGAAAACAATTCAGTGCTCACTTGTAACAAACAGAAATACAGGTAGTAACATTTTTGGTCTGGATGTGGTGGTGCATATCTGCAATCCCAGCACTTTGGGAAGGATTGCAAGTTTCAGCCCAGCCTGAGAAACTTAATGAAACCCTGTCTCAAAATAAGGACTGGGGACTTTAACTCAGTGTGAAGGTTCTGGGTTCAGTCTCCAACCCCCCCCCACAAAGTTACATCCAGTTCTCACTGCAGAAGTGGATTTAATTTACTTAGCCACAGGACCTAACTAGAATTTAAGAGTATGCAGGTGATGTAGTAATTGTCTTCTCAAATAAGACACAGATCCTTATAGGGAAGTCCTTGCCTTGCCTTCCTACCTCCAGGCCTTCTTAAGTAATGATACCTAAATGTAAGTCTTATAAAGTCAGTTCAGTATGATGCTAGTAATGCACTCATCCAAGAGAAATACAAGAAACAGAACTTTTTCAGTGGGTACTCTGTGGGAGTCAAAGAAACCATTCTGATGCTTCAAAAGAATAGGTTAGGATGGCTGAAACTCATCCACGGTATGCAAAAATGATTTTAAAACCTATTGCCAAGTGAGGGGGAAAACCTCCCTAAAGTCCAACATAGTATGGGCGATCACAAGATCAAGGAAAGATTACAGAAAACAGGAAAGCTGTGACTTCATTAATTTCATGGAAGGCTTCAGATGAGCCACTTCCCACCACAGTAATTTGCCTTTTTCCCTCTTCTTCCACAAGCAATGGGTGGATTTAACTGATTGGGAAATGGTTGCTGGCTTTACAACAATAGAAATTAAGAGTAGCTGACAAAGAAAAGGTAAGGGTCAAAAGGTGAATTCCTCCTTCTGCAGCATATTTTCACCAACTGAACCTCACCCTGTGATTAGCAGAGCTCAACAGCTGAGTTAGAAATGAGAGAGCAGAAAAAGAAAGGAAATTTTCATGGGTGTGTCAAACAAAAATTGTGTAAAATATTTGCAAAAGGTTAAGTGACAAGGATTGAATGTTGCCTGCTCTTCTGCTGGGACCTGTTCTTTTCATTAGGAGGTGTCCCAGTCCTCTGGGAAGAACAGGTTCCTTGTTTTCACTTTGTTTTCCATAGTTACTCAGACATTTATTTCATTTAATACCTATTCTTATTTATTTTTACCCCATCCAGGTGAGGTGGGCTGCATGGTAAAGTAAGAAAGTAAAAGTCTGAGAATACAGTTTACCCTTTGCAAAATAAATAGGAAAGACTGTATGGGGCAAAATTCATTGCTTTGCTCTTGGCCAAAAATTGGTGGTGTAAAGATGGTGTTTATGTAGACAGTAAATGGCGGCACCTCTTAACCTATGCTTACTACCTGCCCTCCCAGTAGTCTTCCTGGGTCATCTGAGGAGAGATAATAGTAGCTACCAAAGCTTTGTCTGAACTGATAGTCCCAACATATGCCTCCACCTTCCCAGCACCACTTCTTTCCCCTAAGCTTTTAACCTCAGAAATGTGATTAAAAGTAACCTCAGCTTTTATGTATTTCTTCAGGAAGCCTCCAGGAGTGTCAATGAGACTCTTATAGATATTTGAACATGTTACCTTAAAGATTGGATAGATAAGGATAAAAATTTTTAACCAGGAACAGGGCAAATCCCTATAATCTCAGCTACTCAGGAGTTTGAGGAAGGAGGATCACAAGTTTGAGATCAGCTTGGGCAATTTAGTGGTACCCTGTGTAAAAAAAAAAAAAAAATGCGTGGAGATACAGCTCAGTGGTCCATGGGTTCAATCAAGGAGAGAGGAAAAATCTAAGAGCAGGTAAGTACAATCTGTGTGATATTGAACTCTAAAAAAATTACAAAACCAAAAAACAACCTTAAAACATTTTGAATGGTAACATATCAGTAAGATAAGCTACTTCTCAAGGTGATTATATTTGTTTTTTGTTTTTTGTTTTGTTTTTTTTTTTGTACCAGGGATTGAACTCAGGCCCTTGCACTTGCAAGGCAGGCCACCAAACCACTGAGCTAAATCCCCAGCCCAGGTTGTCTTATTTTAAACAAAAATACTATGATACAGAAAAGTGTCAGTCAGAAGACCAATGTGAAATGAGTATGTATAAAAGTAAGGTTTGGTATTTTAGTAGTTAACAAAAATTTCTTCTATTTTCTGCTTACAAAGGAGGATATGGCCTAGAGTTCTATGATCAAGACTTTCTGTTATCTATTACATTTTTTTTCCCCCAGTACAAGGGATCGAACTCTGGTCCTTGGGTTTGCAAGGCCGGTGACAGAGCCACTGAGCTAAATCCCCAGCCCTGTTATCTATTATTTTTACACAATCTCATCTTCAACTTATTCTTAAACGCTTTTCTCTCACCCTGCATTCTCTTACAATTTTGTATTTCTGTTCAGTCCTTTTAGGAATACCTTCCCCAGATTTACTACTCTCTTCAAATTCTGTTACCATACAACATTCAGTTCAACTCCTATTAACTAAAAAGATTTCTGATCTTATTTCAAGCAACCTTGACTTCTCAGCTCTGAATTTTTATATCAGTTATACATTTACACATCACAATCCATTATTTATTAAACAATGTCATATTATTCTGTAGTTGGTTCATGAGTTATTTTTTGCATTTCTCAAGTCTTTAGATTCCTTCATATTTTCCATAATGCCCATCCCAGTAAGCATTCAATATACTTACTGACTTGACCTCAAACCCTGAAAGTGTTACAGGCAATCATAAATGTGTCATTATAATCAGTATTTATGGATTTCTATAAGAATCCTGAGTACTAATAAACACATTGCTGCTGAATGTCTATTTTTTTCTCAGTGGATTTCATCTTTAATATGAATTTAGAAGTTGAAGCCCTGATTGTTAGGAAATGAAATCTCTAGTGTTTTCTACAACCATGGGCTAGATAGTACCAATGTCTCTACATTTAATTGAAACTATAAATGAAAGTTAGGTAGGCAGAATATAATTCCTGGAGCTGGAGTATGGCCAAGACAGTTGAGAGAACACTCCCAATTCCTGCCAAATATTCTGTTGATAACCACAACCAGTCAGAATCTCCACTGCTGTGTAGCATCTTAAACACAAGCCACTCAAGTAGTAAAGATTTACAGGAAGAATACTTACATATAGATATCCTTAAAGAACAATATTTAATTTTCTTTTTGGTTTGTGTTTGACAAACTCATGAGGTCTACAGGAAATACCCAAAGCAATACTACAATGTTTCTGGCAGGATATATTAGAATAGAGTCTGAAATGCATCCTGTTTTGCTGCCTTGAAATAATTATCTCTAGCCAGGTACCTTTTTTAAAAATGCCAACATTTTTATAAAAGGACTTTGCTCTTCTTTGGGAAATGTTGAGAATGCTATAGTGTGCATATGTATATATCTCAAGCACACTGAGGAGTCAAAAATTAATTGTCTCTCACCCACTCTCCATAAGATTATTTCTCTGAGTGCCTTAAGGTTATATTAGGCTACTTTGACTACATGTATGCCCCCAAAATCTTTTTATTAGTACTAGAGATCAAACTCAGGACCTTGCACTTGCGAGGCAGGTGGCTGAACCCCTGATTCTAAATCCCTGGCCCTCCCCAAAATCTTAAATTGTATACATTAATCATATAAGTGAGGATAATTGTAAAATTTGAATTTGACTTTTGATATGTTATGTCCCTCAGTTCCATGTCTTTAGGTTCAAAGAGAAACAATTAAAATAAATGTAAACCTATCACATGTTGAATTTATATAAATTCATAGTTAAAAGTTATATATTAGGCTGTTATAGTACTTGAAATAAAAGATACAAAAAGTTTGTGCCTTCCAATTAGGATCCTAAAAATGTCACTCTAGGTCTTCAATAGTTTCAGGGTAATAAAAGTTCTTGACTCTCCTTTTGACCACATATCACTAATTCTTGTAATGCTGCTTAATAGTAAGAAGGTAAAAAATCTAATGAGTACCTACTATAGTATGATTTCAAATTCACTTTAGACTACATTTAATTAAATTGATGAGTAGATTCTCACTTTCCTTACTTCCAAAGAGGTAGCAATAAAATACAACATAACCAAATTCACTATTATGCAGTTCTTACTTGTTAAGTTCTAAGATGCTCACATGCTCAGGTGTCCTTAATATTAAATGCTTTGGTACTGATAATTAAGACATCTCAAAACCTACAGCCTCAGATTTCCTTACTTCAGACCAGTCCAAAGCCACCCACTGAGGTGGACATGACTGGTTGTTGCAGGGCTCTTTTTCAATAGGTCGGTGCGTTAAACAACCATTGTAGTCCAGTGTTTCCTCCTCGGAAGGTCCAATTTTCCTGATGCAGAGCACTGCCCTTGTGCGCATCCCACCATCACAAGTCTTGCTGCACTCCAGCCAATCCCCAATGAACCACCTGCAGTAGGAAACAGAAGATTCAGAAAAGCATTTCTTCAGTGTATCCAGAGATCTGCAGCTCAGTGAGAGCATTTAAATGAATGGACTACATTCTTTTCCTGGAAAAGATGACACTTCAAATTGGTTGGTTGACAGAATCAATGGAAAATGGAAGAGCTGATAAGGAAGAAACAGTTCAGTTAGTAAGTTGCCTTCTGAAGTGCAGTACATGGGCTTTAGAGAAAGCAGAACCTAGATCTTTTTTTTTTTTTTCAGAACCTAATCTTAAACAGTAATGCACTATGGGATTTTTTTAGACTTCTTACTTTTCTCCTTTTTTATTAATTTGTAAAGTAAGGATAACAGATATTTCATGGGATTTCCATGAAGATTAAATAATACATTTAAATTTTCCAGTGTGTGCTGGTACATGCTTATCACTGGGAGAAGGGAGTTCTGACTTTTGACATTTGCCAGTTTTGTAGTGTGAATTCCTCTTTACAACCACTTTCAAGCTACAAATTTGACATACTGAATAGGAACAAGAGAAGACATGCTAATCCTAGGGTCCCACACACAAGTACTGGCTAGCTTTCACAAACCTTTGAACGTTGCACATGGTGAACAAGAAAGTATAACTATTATTATTACTTGAGGCTTATTTTCCCATAATTGAGAATTGTATGCTAAAATCATCCAAAAGGAGCTGAAGATTTGTTTTCTATTTTCTCAAAATGAACTAGTTTGAAGGCAGTATGCCTTTCTAGTCCTTAAAGGGGCACAGAAGGCCCAGGTATCCATACTGAGGATATGTGTCTTAAAACACCTTCAGAAAAGTAGAACCCTAAGCTAGCACCATGAAAAGATAAGAGATTCCTTGTTTTGACCCCTTGCTCCCTAAATAAGCTTCTATACAGCTAATGCGGGAAGAAACTCAAATGTTTTAAAATGAATACATCTCAAATTTGTAGGCATACCACTCATTTTCCTTGAAATCATTAATGAATTCTCATATTCACATAATTTTGGGGGGTTTTGGTAACACTTTTGCAGGACTCACTTTCCTGGAAGCAGAAAAAAAAAGTGCAATAGATGTGAAAATGATCCAACTCAGGCCAATGAGAATTCTGCTTTAGAAATTTTATATCTCAACTGGAGTAAAGGGGGCTCTTTCCTGTTTGCTCACAAAGGTGTACAAGGACCTAAGTCTAGTTTTTGGTGGCCATGACCACTCTCAAGTAGATTTAGCTGATGTGAAGGAATGCAGAAAAGCTAGAAAGTCCTGAGAGTTTCTGAGTCACTGGTTCTAGCAATTCCTCTTGTTAGGTCTACCCTTTACTTATACTTCTCTCAGCTTTGTTACATAAACTTTAAGTATAGAAGTTAGCTCAAGCTGAAATTTTATTATTTGCAACCACAGTTTTAGCTGATATACGATTGTATTTAGCTTAATACATATTGCTGAATGCCTGCTCTGTTCAAGGCATTGTGCTTTGTTTCATAGAAGAAAGCAACATCATGAGAACACATCCTCCAACATCATGAGAAAAGCAAGGGTGGGACAATAATTCAATCCCTTATCAATTGGTATTTATACAAATTTTTACCTTTAAATATTGTTCAATAAGAACTGTAAGTCACAAGATATTTTCTTCAATCCATGATTACAAGTCATGCAACAATAATCAATGAACATGTTTATGCTCTCAGGCAGGCGAGTAGCCAGAGAAAAGAACATGAAAAGCTTAAGAACAAATTCCTCACTAGCTCCATGAGAATAGCTCTACTACACTAGTTTTGTATATAGAATGTAATAACTTAGTGAGGTCAGATTACCACTTTCCTAAATTTGAGTCTGCATTTAACCAAAAAGGCCACAATAACCTTTATTCATTATTTTTATATTATTATTATTTACAGAGGAAAATCACCATTAGAAATATCATGGTTAGTTTTTAAAATTCAAAATATTTTTTGTCAAAATCTAAAAATGTTTAACCTAAAACCTATTTAAGGAGTGATCATTTAATCCTGGATTTAAAAAATCTGACACTGACATTTTTTTTCTGTTAAGGAATTTTCCAAAGGAGATTTAAAATGATTCTCATATTGCTTCTTTTTTGTTTTCCACTGATGAACATGATCCCAAGTTGTTAGTACCATTTTTGGTAAGGAAAAAAATGTGTACTGAGAATAATACTTGCATGCTGGCCATAGTGAAACTCTGATTCAATTTGCAACAGTGATTTCATCACTAAGGTTGGAGAATAAAACAGAAATGTGTACAAGTCAGCCACAAAAAGCTCAGTCATTCCACCTCCAGTCATGATCTCATTAGGCCTCAGAATGTATGAGGGATGGAGACCTTCAAATTAAACACAGGTGCTCAGAGTTAACGGCAGTGATTCAGGAGGTGTCGCTGTTCTTTGGAGTACGGGGTCAGGCCACCTCTGTCTTTTTATTCTTTGCCCCTTCTTTTATTGCCAATCATCTCTCCTCAGAAACTTAGCCTAGATATATCACTCTACCCTTTACTTTAAAAATATATGTAAGTAAGAATATTTATCATTTTCCTAACTTCCTTTCTGACTTTATTTTTAGGCTTCACCTTCAGCCCATCTTGCATCCTTATTGTGTATCACATTATCCCTTCCCGTGTCTCTCTGAAAGATTAAACTTCACCCCACTTTTACGATTTTACCATTACATCTGCTTGTCTCAGTCTCTGTATTACCTGTATAGTTAAGACATATTGTTCCTTTCATCTTCCTTCTCCACTTACTTGACCCTGAATTCTCCCTAGTTTTCTATCTTTTGTTTATTTGTTTTCTTCTCTTTTAAACACAGTGGTAAACATATAAGCACATTCTCCCTGGGAATGTCAATGGCTAGATCTATAGCCTGAACAATCCTAGGACTGTATGTATGTATGTATGTAAGTGTGTATGTATTTTTCTGAGGTCTTTCCAACATTCAGAGATTACATAGTCTTCATCCTCAAAAGTGCCTTCAAATCCATTGGATGCTAATAATTAGCAGGACTCATGTGCATCAAAAATAAGAGTGACTTGCTGAAACCTGTATAATCTTATCTGCATTCTCAGTCTCTGATGATACTAACAACAATATCACTACATTAATCTGAAGGAGGAAATATGAAAGACATTATACAAAATATTTTTCTAATGTTATTTCTGCTTTGCAATTTAAAGGAAAATGGCAGAATATATAAAATTAAATTGATATTAAATACTCAGATTAAGAGAGAGGGGTGGAGAGTAGAGGGCAAGGGGGAAAGAAATAAAGAGGGAGGGGGAAATAGGGAAGACAGAGCGGGCAAGAGAATGAATGCTGGACTGATAGAACACAAAGACATATGGAGAGAGGACTGATTTCCCAGTCTTAGTTCTAGGTTACAAATCTAATCATCAACTCTTTTTATAAATATGACAGAGCAAAAATTTTTAAAATTTTTCAGAATTTGGCAATAACATCTTTAATCAATGAGAGATTCAATTATATAACCTATTGTCTACTTACAAAGTTATTAGAACTTGCCTAGGTGCTAAAATATTCTTTAGACAGATTTTCAAATCAAAAAGTTGGTAAATGAGAAATTCTTTATCCCCCAGCTAATTAGAAAGTGAAACTAATACTGAGCAGAATACTCTACATCCTAAATATTCTACAGACATTTTCCTAAAATTAAAAAATCAATAGTCATATAGTGTTTACTACTTTGACTATCACAAATTTACAAACCACAAAATCATACAGGAATAATATTTAGTATTTAAGGATTCTTCACAATAAGTCATTATGTAGAAATATTCTTGCTATTAAAACAGCATTTTAGGGCTGGGGATTTAGCTCAGTGGTTCCACCGCCTGCTTTGCAAGCACAAGCGCCCAAGTTCGATTCCCAGTATCAAAAAAACAAAAAACAAGACAAAAAAAAAAGCATGGTAAAAACTGAACTGTTAGTTTTTGTCTTTGGATTCCAACTCAGCACTGCTTCCTTTTCGTAAAGAGGTGACACAAGATAGTATCAGTCATACCCTTTAATATCAACTCCTTTCTTTTTTTCTAATCATTTAAGCCTATGCCATGGCTTCATTACTTACCTCACCGCCTTCACTACTATACTCTTCCTTACTAAAAAGTGCTGTGTGAGCACGCTGATTTTTCCTAGGAAGAACTGTGTTGGCCCTTCACAGTGTTCCAAATCAACACTGCTATTTTATTTCTGCCTATGCTCCTTTTGTATCATTTTCTTTATGCAGTGACATAGCTCAGTGTTCTCTGTTTTTCCATACTCTACTTACAAGTGCTCTTAAATAACTAAAGACATTTTCAATATTTCATTATTTGAAAAAATATTTTCTGATTTTTAAAAACTTTAAGTTTTAAATTATTGATACTGGGAAAACAACACTTGAAAATATAGATTCCTTCCTCAAGTCAGGCAAATATATTTCAGATAAATTAAAGTTTACATTAAAATACAAGGAATTTTGAAAGCACAATGTCAGAGTGGGTGAAATCTTCTAAATACTATACCAATGAAAGAAATAAGTTTTATAGTTTTCCTAAATTTTTAAAAAATTTTACCAGTAAAAATAAATCCAAACACTATAAATAATATGAAAGACATATGACAAACTGGGAAAAATATTTGGAACACAAATAAACTATTTAATATGGTTAAAATACACATTGAGTTGATAAGAATAAATAACAAAATGAATACTTCCATAGAAAAATGGGACAGACCATGAAGAGAAAAAGAAGTAGTACAAATGGCTACTGAACATAATTTTTAAATGTTCAGTCCCATCAACAATCTAAGAAACACAAAAACAATCACATATCAGGTTTTTAAACCCATATAATAAACAAGACAATCTTAAACTAGTAACAGTTGTTCAATTCAAGGAAACAGCAATCTTGCACACTTGTTTGTGGGAATATATCTTCATCCAATCTTTCTAGAGGACACTTTGACAATATGTCTCAATGAGTAATGTGTACCCATTTGAGCCAGAAATTCAATTCCCATTTATTTAGCATAAGGGCATAACTATGGAGAGCAGAGTTTTAGTGGTAAAAACAGTTGGTGCTGTGGTATCACAGGAGCTCAAAAGCTAATACAGAGTCAAATTTGCACAACAGTGAAGAACTAGTTTAAATAAGCAATGACATATCTACTAAATGCTGTCCAAGATATGTTCAAAATATGTTAAGAGATGACCATATGACTAAAGTATCTTAGGTAGTACACCATTTTGTTACATATAGATGCCTATGTATACATAGGAAAAAAGACTGAAAATACATGAAAACATTAACAAGCACTATAAATGCTTTTTCTTCTTTTAGTTTATGTGCCTATCACATCATCAACTGAAAAAAAACAAGATGTTTCACACTCAATCTTACTAAAGTATAGTAGTCTTTCTATAATTTTTAATCCATTTTATACCAATGTGTACTGGGAATCTTATTACATATGACAACTGTTCTAAAGAATCATGATTTCCTCTTTCACAGCATGAATTCAAATGAATAAAGAAGAAAATGAAAACTAATTTTAAAATGGACTAGTAATAGTTAAAATATATACTTTAGATATTTTTTAAAAAGAAAACTGATATCAGACTAAATTTTTCTATTTTGGTGTATAGCCTCTATTCTTCTCTTTTGAATTCCATTGCCTCACATCCAAACTTAAATAAGTAATTTCATTTCAGACAGACTTATAAGAGGGAAGGTATGAGGAAACAATTTTAATCATGTATATTAATATCATGATTAATCTGAAATCATTAAAGAACTCTAATGTAATAATCAAACCTACAATGTATGGGAGAGAATGATCAATGGTTGAAATTTCTGAGAACATTTAAGTATGCAAACTTAAATAAAACTTAGACCAAAATTAAATAGGTTTAAGCAGTTCCATTCAGATACCTTACATGGCTGATTAAATGCCAAACATGATACTTAAAAATCTATATTTTAAAGGAATTAACTTGATGAGTTGACATTCATAATTACATGAAGCATACAGAGGTTATTGAAAAAAATTGAAGGAACAAAATTAGCCTATGGATTTTGAGCATCACTTTGTTTTCTGCATGTTTTCAGTTTTATCTTGAGATAAACATAACTGGTGGGGAAAAAAAGCACTTGTTTCGTGACATACATGATAGGTCACATTTCCATATTTCTCATGTTTGCATTTTAAGGAATTAGTTACATGGTGATCATATTTTTAAAAGAATAGGCATAAACTTACAAAATCTTAAAATAAAAATGTCTACCACTCTAGGTACTTTATGTCCGTACTCGGTAGCTACTACTATAAATCTTTTCAAGAGACTAGTAGATTCAATTGTTCAGGCAGATACTGACTTAGGATAATATAAATTCATAAGTCATTACTGTTTGGGAACAAATATTAAGAGATATATCTTGCTTTAAGATATGAGGAACCTGGATATTTTATCAAGTGTTAAGTCTCAGGTTTTTGTGACTCCAATATGATCATTTTTAGAAGGGGGTTGCTTCATTATAAAACTCTCCTCTACAATTCTAAAGAGTTTAGGACATGTAAATTCATTTGCTTACTTTTCTTTTCCTTATCAATTTCATATTGGGAAAATTATGTGACCAAAGGGTTAATGTTTAATCTGATTTCTCAAATATGACATTCACACAGTGTTAGGAAAAATACATGTAGAGATCAATATTATGATCAAATTAGCCCCCTAATCTATTTTTACATAATTATTGCCTTTTATTCAATCAAGAAATCTTTCTGTTCTCACAGATTAGAAAATGTGGCTCACTGCCAGCAGGTCTCATTTTAAAGTCATCATAAAGATGGCTTTCCTATGCTTTCCTTTATAGTGAGTTGTAGCTGCTAAATTAATCATTACAGATTGAAGTATACCTGTGTATCTGTGCCCAACACTCAGAAGACCAGATGCCCTCTAACAATGGAATTTCATTTAAACACCATTATTTTATATATCATTTAAAAAGGGGGGAAATACCAATTAAGGTAACACCATCAGCTGTAAAATGAATCTACATTCAAAATGTTAAAATATGAAAAGACGAGTGTGCCTTAAAGTTGATGAAATATATTTTCCCTCACTATACTAGGACCAAATTTATTGACGTTCTTTCTTTAAAGGAGTCAATAACTGAAACCTATGGATGAATAGGAATCCTTATCTAGTAAAAATCCATCAAAATTCTACCATCTATGGTAGTTTCTCCTTTTCTTTCCATCTAATTCATTTGTGTAACATGAATATGTTTCTAAATATGAACACATCATGTTTTTCCTGGGTACCTGAAGAAAATAATTCTCATTTCTCTCTCTTACTTACTCGGGGGGGCAGGGCTCAGTATTGCAGGTTCTTTGATTTTCAGGTGGTTTACTGTCAGGATCACAATAACTGTTCTGGACAATGGAGTTGTCATCCAACCTTTTACAGACCACCTCCTGTCTCTGGACACCTTGAAAAAAGGAGAACATTCATTGAAGAGTAGTTTACCTTCCAATAAATTATGTGTGCATAGCTTTCCTCTGTGGGAATCAACCTCACTGGATCGCTGATGACTTATCTGTTCCAGAAACAGTGGACTGCTTCTCTAAAAAGGAGAGAAGTCCTGGTCGTTATGTTTAAATTTTAGTCAAAATTATTGCCTTTATATTTAGAAATTAACAGTTTTCAAGTTCAGAAAAGAAACCACAAGTAATGTTAGTATTCCCATTTATATATTCATCTTTGTGCTTTCCTTAAAAATAAAAAATAAAATTTAAATTTCCTAAAACATCAGAAAAAAATTATTAATATACATCTCAGTGCAAAACAATGGCTCTATATTTAATTAAAAATAAAGCACTAGGGACCAATTTGCTTTTTGACATTTTGTAGAACAAACCCCATCAAATTTAGTCTTTGTTAGGCTAAATTTTCATTTGTTTCCTCCATTTACATATGTGTCTTTCCAAAAGCCCATGTAGTTTAGCACTTAGAGATTGCAGTTGATCCCTTTTTGGACTATGACCTGCTAGTCTATTTGTCATAACAGTGTTGGATACCTACTGATACCATTATCAAAGAGACACATGCTTTGTTCAAAAATTGATCTATAAAATAGTTACCTTGCTCTTAAAATATTAATCTAGGTGACCTAAAAATATTCTCATTAGGAAATTCTAAATGTTTGTAAACACTTATTTGTAAAGATCATTTTCTCTTTAGCGTGAAGGAATTAAAAGAAGCAAAAACAGGTATATCAAGACATTGAAGAGGAGCAAACCAAACTATAAGACGATGTTTAATATTTCAAACCATATAAGGTTTCTCCTGAAAAGGGAAAGAAAAGCATAAACCAAGCTGTCCACCCAATCACAAACACCATTCCTTTAACAGGCAAGCTAAATTTCCCAGGAAGAATTGTAAAAATTGTGTTAACAGTATCTAGAAAATCACAGCTTCTCCTTTAGCCAATCCTTCAGGGTTTTTTTTTTTTTTTCTTCAGTTGTTTAAAGTAATAGAGCCCTAAAAAAAAAAAGTTTGATCACAAATTAGAAAAATCCATGTTAAAAAGGTTCATTTGATGAAGGAAACAGTCACCTAAAGAACTAGACATCAAATGTTTCCTTCAAGGACCCTTAAGATTCAGTCACAGGAAATTTCACCCATAGGAGTTCGTCAGTTGGCATGTTATACAACTTTCAGTCCTTTGAATTTAAAGACTGACAAGCTCATGAGATTTAGATCTGATAGTTTTCATGACAGTGGCATTCTTATAGCTTGCACCAACTTAAGGCTTCTACTTTCAGCAACAAAATTTTAGGTTTTCCTAAATTAGGAGTCTAAAACATAGCCAAACAGTTTACTGGCAAAATATTTTAAACTATTGTATTGTACTCATTCCCTCCCAACCCCTAGAATAGGCCAAACAATTCAGTTTATGCGATGACAACAGTTTGGAATTTTTTAACTATTAAACTTTAGATTTTTGAGGGAAAAATGATTCACATCAGGCATAGCTGTAATCTATCCACAGATGTTCCATGATATTCATCAGATTACCTCCCTGTTGTGTCATTCAGTGGGCAGATAACTCAATCCATGTGGTCCACCTAGACAAATACTTCTACTATTAGTCATAGTATTCAACTACCAACTACAGCAGTGGCTCAGATTATCCATCCATTCTGGTTCAATATGTTGCTTAAATCAGGAAATTCATTCAAATGTGATTATACTTAAAAAAGCAATGATGGTGTTTAATAGAATATCTTGATTGTTTCTCAGAAAAGCATATACATTTTTAACTCCACAAAATGGATCTGATGTTTTGTTTCAGTGGCAGAAGAATTAAGCCAGTTTTTACAGTTAAGATAAATTCTATTTTCTTTACATTCACTCTACAAATGTTGAGTAATTTTACATAAAATAGCCTTCAATTTAAAGCAGAGTGCTTGTGATTTGAATCACAGATGAGACATTAGTAAAGATAATTAACAGAGATTTATATTTCAAGAAAAGTCTAACCATGTATTAAAAAAAAAACAAAACAGGGTTTCACAATGTATATAGATCAGGTTGTCCTTGAACTCAGTATGTAGCCCAGGATGGCCTCAAACTTGCAGTGATCCCCCAGCCTCAGCCTCCCAAATCCTGGGATTACAAGCATGCACCACCATGCCCAGCTCCATGTATGTGTTCTGAAAAAACTTTCTACATAACATTTATTCTTAAAAATATGAAAAACTAGAAGGAACAAAATAAAAATTATTCATAGTCTCATAGCTTAGACCTTTATTTTTTATTATTATTTTGCTATTTGGTGAGATATAGCAGTTGGTTTAATTACATACATATATAAATTGCCAGATTAATATGGTTCACGGGTCATTCACTCATTCATTCATTCAACAGATAATAGTTAATAAATGCAAATACTTCTTATAAGATATTGGACTAAGTGCTAAGAATAAATTGACTTAATTTTGGTTAGGGTTTATTAAAATCTAGGAATTAAGAATATTTCTGATTATATATACCAGTTTCGTAATTTTTGAATGATTTTTTTTTCTGAAGGAAAAATTAAAGTCCTTAAAGAGCGAAAGTTGCTCTATATTTTATGAAGATGCATTTTCCTTGTAGTCATATTTTATTAATTTTCTTCAAAACTGTCATATTAGATAGTGTGGTATTTCACACTCAAGAATTGCTGTACCCGTAATCTATTCCAGATTTTCCTACAACATTCTACTATTTTCCTCTAACAACATACAAATCCCCTTACAACTTTTACTCCCACAAATGGCAGGTTTACAGATTTTTTTTTTCTGCTTTGATTTTAAGTCAGTAACAACAGGATAACTGTGTAAACCAGTGCACCTAAATGTATAAATTTTTAAAATATACTTTTGAATTGAGACAAATACAACTTTTAATTTTTTAAAGTAGAAAATATAGATCAAATGGAAATAATTTATGTCAACAAGAGAAAAAGAATTTGGAATCTTTTTATATGATCAAGTCTTTTACACATAGCTTCTTTTAAAATAGTCTGTAAAACATTGCTAAATTGATTTTAAACTCTGTTGGGAATAATTACATCAGTTACACAAAACCACTATGCTTCCAAATTTAAAGATTTAATAGTTTGTAAGCCCCCCCTCATGATCAGCTAGTATACATCTAACCAAATCCAAAATTCTAGTGTTCATATGTTTTAGAGATAGAAAGATGTCTTGCAGAATTTAATTAGCCAAATTTAAAACTGCATTACTTATATTTTATTCTGAAAGACTTAAAGTTACTGACATACAAACTTTATGCCTATTTTTAATTTCATCCTTCACCTATGTTTTAAAAAGTGATTTCACATTACAAAAGTTAAGTAAACACTCAAATTTTGCCAATACTTTAAATCCTCTAAAAGATGAATACTTGTTCATTCCTTTAATTTGTGTAACTTTTGACTTTTTTTATATCAGAGAATCAAATATGATGGTATGAGGGTTCCTAACATAGAAATATAATCCCTGGGCTAAGGCTGTAGCTCAGTGGCCGTGTGCTTGTCTATCATATGCAAGACCCTAGGATTTGTCTTACCACAGCATCCAAAGTAGCTAGCAACCGAGACAACATTATATAACCACAGTATACAAAGCATATGACCAGAAGCATTAATTTAATCTAAATGTTAGTGCAGATAGCATCCAAAGAGCAATACATGCCAGGAAAAAACATGACTCTCTTCTCTGCCTTACACTGCTGGAATCTGGCTCTTGTGCTGTGTAATAGTTGGCCAGACACAACGATTGCAGGGCAGAGCAAAGCTCATCTGCCTTGGATCTAACAGCTGACATCCAGGTACCAATCAACTCTATCCATACGGCTTCCTTATTCTGAATAGTCTGCTGGTAGTTTTTGTCTTTCTCTTCTCTGTCTTTCCAGTGTCTTCCTTTCTGACCTAAACAAAGCAGATGTCCTGAAGAAACAGGATGGCAAAAGGCAAATTTTGCTCTAAAAATATTGTATTTTTCTACAATATAGAATGGGTATATTTGAAATCACACTATGGCTAGAAAGAATCTCTACTACTTATTAAGTGTTTTTTTTTTCCCCTCATTGAATTTATAGGTACATTTTAGGTATACAGTACAGTTACATTAATTGTTGGGATCTTGTACCTTTTAATGACAGGTCTTGGTTCTCATTTTTTCCCCTTGTTCCTGCCCTCCCGTCCCCATTTACAAACACTTTATTTCCATTTTTTCATTTTACTTATTAAATATTAACAATAATCTCTTCTGTGAAAAGTATCTATCTATCTGTCATGTAAAAGAAACCATGCAATATTTAAGTTTGTGTGTCTGACTTACTTCAGTTAAAAGTATGTTCTCAATTTGCACCCATTTTCCTATGAATGCCTCAAGTTTATCTTTCTTTATGACAGAGTAGCACTCCACTGTATTTAAATGTCAGATTTTCTTTATCCATTCATCAGTTGATGGACATATATAGCTATTATAAATTGTGCTCTATAAACATGGGATGCATGTATGTAAGAGAGAGTTTTTTATCGATATTCTGAGTAGTATCGGGGCCATTTTTTAAAGACCACAATATACAGTATACTAACTACTGTTATTCTCTAATTATTTTTTATGAAATTTTATTTTTTCACAAAAGTAAGAATAGCATTTTTCATATTTTCTTTATTAAGACCTACTTGTATTAGCTTAAAATAAAAAGTATCTAGGGCTGGGATTTAGCTCAGTGGTGCCACTACCTGCCTTGCAAGGACAAGGTCCTGAGTTCGATCCCAGGTACCAAAAAAAAAAAAAAAAAAAAAAAAAAAGGCATCTAACTTACTTCTAATTCATTCAGTTCGTACTATATCTAAGGCATGATTTTTCATTACCATAAACAAGAAATAAGACAATCTTGACCTCAATGAGATTATATCAGTACAGGAGTAGG